TCCGCCAGATCCGCGCCGTGTAGCTCACACTTGGGGGAGCCGTCCAAGCAGCCACAGACCTGCTCCTCCGTGAAGTAGTCCCAGTTCAGCACCTCAAAGCGGGTTTTGGGCTCGAAAGGGGGTGGGATGCCAATGGGCCACGTGGCGCTGTGGTCCCCGTCAGCGGACAGGCTGCTGGCGTTCTGGATCTCCAGCTGCAAGAGGAGAGATGGAGGAGTGAGAGCGAAGGCGGGTACAAATAAGTCTTCCAGCTCTGTCTGTAGGTAAGCTGACTCCCGATACTCAGAGATGAGCCACTCCTGGCCCAAACAGCAGTGCCCAGAACAACTCTGCCTTCAGCCTGACTCCTGTCCAGCACCTCAAGTTTCCTCCAAACAGCACCCCGAATATGGCACACCACCTTCACCGGCAGGATCCATGTCCTCTCCCACCTTGCCCAGCCTTTGCTGGCATACCTCAGCGCCCTGCTGGCTCCATCAGCCTCAACCATCCCCACAGCTCCAGGACCCGTTCAGTTCCAAAGCTGCTCTCCAGCCAGCACCACTGCCACTGCTGTCACACGGGCTCAGTTGATCCCGTCCTGCAGCAGGTTCAGGTGAGAAAACCCTGGTATTTGAGTGGAGAGGTGACACAGAGCGACCGGAAAGCCCACAGGGATGACAGGAGGAGTCCAGATCCTCCCAGCCAAGTCAGGTCTCACCTGGAGCTGCTGAATCTCCTGGTATGTCCTCTCAAGCTCCACCTGCGCAAAGTACTTGTGCAGCCGGTACATCTGGAGGGGATCCAGGACGGGATGGACAGTGAAGGCGCTCTGGAAACGGAAGTCAGTCTTCCACTCAGGGTCTGTGTTCTTCTCCAGCTCAAAATAGTGGTAGCGTAGGCCCTGCATCAGCCAGGAGAGATGGGTCACGGCCAGCCCCGACCCACACTCCCACCCCATCACCTCCCTGCACAGCATGCTCCAAGGATGACAGGGTGCAAGAGCTGGTCCCTCCAGGACCTGGGAGCCCACGGGAAGGCAGGCAAACACACTGGGCCAGGATCAGGCTCTTGGAGGCCACCTCCACTGCAGGACCTACCTCGTGCTCGTCCACACAGTTGACACCTGTGTAGTCGATGATGCAGCGGCCCAGCCACTCGTCCGGCCGGGCACTGAGGATGTCGTTGTGACAGCTGTCCAGGTGTTGTTGCAGGAGCAGAAGGAGGCTGCGGGACAGGAGGTAGCCAAACCCCCCGTAGCAGTAGCGTCCCTCGGTGTCCCCGCCTATGAACTCCTCAGGACGGCCCAGGTAGAGGTGGGTGTCAATGCTGAGGTGGGCAACCAGGTGGCCAATGCGGTGCGCCTCCGTGTAGGTATCGTCCTGCACCAGGAAGAACCAGTCGAAGTCGTTCACGTAGTGGTCCACTAGGTACCTGACGGTCTGGTATGTGTTCCAGATGGGCCGCTCGTCGCCGTGCGTGACCACTGTCATGCCGTGGGGCACCTTGCGGCCCCGCATGCCTGTGAAGTACACCACGCGCTCCAGGCGGTGGGCCAGCGTGCGGTTGACAGCCACTGCCAGCGTCTCTGGGAGGTCAGCAAACCCACGAAGAGTCGCTGCCGCATCCCCAGCTCCGTGCTGATGTACCGGGTCCTGCAGGAGGGAGAGAACGTCTGGTCTCCGGGCACTGCACCCCACCTCAGCCTGCACCCTCTCTGTCCCCCTCCCGCCAATAGCACCGACCTCAGTTCCTCTGCAGGAACTGCTCCTGGGCTTCAATCACATGTGCAAGACAACAACCCAGTGGCACTGGCTTCCACTATGCCTGGGCCAGTGGCACAGCAGAGTGCTCTAAGGTCGCCCTCAAACTGAGACTACTGAGGACCCTCCCTTCCCATGAGCCGCCCAGCCTGGCTCAAACCAGAGGCTCACAAAAGGCCGAGCACAGCTAAAAGAGGGAAACAGGGCTGCACCCCCAGTTTTCAGCAGTGAAACACTGGAACGGGTTGCCCAGGGAAGTTGTGGACACCCCATCCCTGGAAATGTTCAAGGCCAGGTTGGATGAGGCTTTGAACAACCTGATCTAGTGGAAGGTGTCCCTGCCCATGGCAGGGGGGCTGGAACTAGACGATCTTTAAGGTCCCTTCCAACCCAAACCATTCTACGATTCTAGCAGCGACACGACCCACCAGGATCCCCACCATGCTGCCAGCACCACCCAGGACAGCTGAGCTGGGAAGCACCTTCCCACTGATCCCGCCACATGCACTGCTCTGAAGCAGGCAGGCAGGAGAGCCTGTGCTGCCCTCTCCAGGGTAGCCAGGCCCCG